ATATTAAGACTCGAAACCCACTGAAATTTCCTATACACTTTTATACTGTATTATAATCAGGCCAAACTCATGTTTTTGCCATGAATATTGACGGGATAAACGCAATTTAATGCTAGTATATTGCTTTTTCTAGAACTATTCATAGGAACATTCCCACGCTCTGCTGATATGGAAATACAGACAATAAAAGTGTACGTGTCATTGATCTTGCTACCGGCCGAGTTATGCATAGCTCAAACCCTTTGTATGCTGCCCAGTGTTAACCAGGCCAAACTCATGTTGTTGCCATGATTATGGAGGAATAAATTCGTAGTGACAGGATAAACGCAATTTAATGCCAGTACCTGCTTCTTCTAGAACTATTTATAAGGACAGTCCCACGGTTCTGCTGCTATGGAAATTGACTATTAAGGGTAATTGATCTTGCTGCGGCCGAGTTATGCATAGCCGTACCTTTTGTACGGCGCCCAGTGATAACGACTCGACGTTACCATGGAAAAGCATAGAATAAACTAAGAAAATATCAGTCTCTGAATTTCAGTGTGCAATTAAATCTTGTATTTATTATTTTCTTTAAGTCTCATTTTTAATTATATTTTATATTTGTTATATATATTTGAAAATGGATTTGGTACGATACAAATAAATTAATTACAATAAAGACAACATGGAAGTGAACAGAAATTAAAAATCAAACAAAACAGCTCATTCAGTAGAACATAAATTAAAGTTAATTAGCGTAAACAGTTATTTTTTTATATATAGGCCTACCATAATATATTTTAAATGCAAGGTTATTCCCAACTATTTAATATTGGAACAAATTATAGACAATAAATCAATGGATAGAAAAAGCAATTTAAAGAATGAAATAATGATAATATGTTAAGAGATCGTAATTCAGTAAATATCCCATAGCCCATTGAGTACAGGACCAGAGTCAAGCGTCTAACTTTTACTTTGATAGAACATAGAGTATGTCAAATCGAAACCACAGGCCTTAAACTTCCAGCCAAATTTATTCTTTATTTTTATATTTCTGCTGTCTGTTAGTTTTGATACGGCGCCCAGTGATAACGACTCGACGTTACCATGGAAAAGCATAGAATAAACTAAGAAAATATCAGTCTCTGAATTTCAGTGTGCAATTAAATCTTGTATTTATTATTTTCTTTAAGTCTCATTTTCAATTATATTTTATATTTGTTATATATATTTGAAAATGGATTTGGTACGATACAAATAAATTAATTACAATAAAGACAACATGGAAGTGAACAGAAATTAAAAATCAAACAAAACAGCTCATTCAGTAGAACATAAATTAAAGTTAATTAGCGTAAACAGTTATTTTTTTATATAGGCCTACCATAATATATTTTAAATGCAAGGTTATTCCCAACTATTTAATATTGGAACAAATTATAGACAATAAATCAATGGATAGAAAAAGCAATTTAAAGAATGAAATAATGATAATATGTTAAGAGATCGTAATTCAGTAAATATCCCATAGCCCATTGAGTACAGGACCAGAGTCAAGCGTCTAACTTTTACTTTGATAGAACATAGAGTATGTCAAAATCGAAACCACAGGCCTTAAACTTCCAGCCAAATTTATTCTTTATTTTTATATTTCTGCTGTCTGTTAGTTTTGATAGTAACGTTGACGATAATCTCGATAAATTATTAATGTAATTCTCAGAAATATAACGTGAGCTTGCGTTACTTCCAACAGGGTTTATTTTTATACGAGACGTTTTTGTTTGTGTTAATTGGGTTTTTACACTAAGCCTGTTATCAATTCCCCACTACGAAGTGGAGTAGCCCAGGAAAATAATCCCAACGCGTGCCCAACTATGGGATTAAACTGCCTTTAATCGCATCGCGTGGTCCACTCGTATACGCGTTGCTTTATTTTGCGAGGCTCCCTCAATGCCGTTAAGCGGTTTTGAAAGTGGACTACACATGTTCAGTTTATATACATACATATGTATACTTCCTTGTACTCAAAGATGAGTTTTAGTGTAAAGGTTGTTCAAGATTGTATAACAAAATTAATTACAGGAAATTGTCATATTCGATTGTTAAAGTGATGACAATGTGATTCACTGATCCAGATATAACAATTATTTTTATAGCTGTTTTTGATGTTATTGTTTAATTGAGCAAAGTGTATTTTCCATTTGTTTTGACTTTAAATAATATAATAATTATAATAATTTATTTTAATGACTGTTAAATTGTTTCCAAAGAAGAGAAAGTCCAAAGTGAAAACCCAGGCAAATAATAATGTAAAATAAGCCTACTAAAAGCAATAGATTTAATGGTAAAACAATAGATTAAATAGATTAAATGGTAGACAAATAAAAAGAAACAAATCCTCACCAAAATTGAGGCCTTTCCCCACCTTTTACTAGGAGTTTAGAGAAAGTGTCATATTGACAATAATAAATAATGTTAAGAAGACACACAGTTAAATCAAGGCATTTTTATATATCGTATTGTAGTGTAACATACCTTTCTGGCTCTCTTTATTCTTTATTTTTATTTAATTATTGAAATATTTCAACTGCAGACACAGAAGCATCACTTAAAGAATGGTATTACCAGGGAGGTGCCATATGACCCCCCTACCTGGTAGTACATAAACAAACAACGCAGGTGACAGAAATCATAAGATACTTAGGTGTAAATTGATGAAAGCAGAATTGAAAATGTCAATATCATGATCGAAATCTCGAATTGAAGCCCAGTGGGCTTAATCAATTCGAGATGAAGCCTATCTCGAATTGAAGCCACTCCCCCTCTTTAGTTTGCAAAATTAGCCTCAAAAAGAAGCCCATAGGCTTCTTTTCAAGATAGCATAGGCTTCTTTTCGAGACAGTACAGTATATACACTATACATGAATTTTAAAAAACAAAAAAAATATAAAAACAAGCTTGGTTTATACAGTAGTTATCATTTAAATACACTTCATGATACAGATTGATGTAACATTGGCCGTATTTATTGTTAAACCTCTCTCCTAGGATAATGTTGCCATGGTCTTTCAAAACACCAGTCATTCGTAGAGATACATGGTGGGTTTTGTGCATCGTCCTTGGCCCACCTTTCTTTCCCCACCTTCATTGCCTTGCCTAGTAAATAGGGTGTTGTGGTTAATACATACACTGACAAGGTTCATTGAGGCTGCTTGCTCAGGACCTCTGGATTTTCAGCCTGCATTTTTGTAATCCTTTTTTCTTATTCTTTCTTATTCGAATTGAATTGAATCTGTCCTTACTAAACGACCTTTTCTCACGAATAAAACCAACTCCACTCACTAAGCCTCATAAAGAAACTTGGTTTTTAAAGCATCATCCATCCTGTAATTTGCGAGTTACTCGCTGTTGGATGTGAACGAAATAAATTATGACTATGATTGATAGGTTGATTGATAGATTGATTAATTATTTGACTAATTTTTACAGACAAAAATGTTTGACCAGGCAACAGTGATGACTCTACCCATTTAGCAAACACAATTCAAGATATTGCCTTAAGTTTAGATAAGAAAAAAAACAAATAGACCTTATCATAACAGACTTGAAAAGGCGTATGACGACAAAGTTCCGCACCAGAAGCTTCTTCAGAAAATGCGTACATACGGAATAGTTGGGAAAACCTTGAAATAAATTGAGAATCTGTCCTTACTAAACGTAAACAAATGGTTGTAATTGAGGGTAAATATTCGGATTGGGCTGAGGTCACTTCTGGTGTTCCGCAGGGGACAGTCACTGGCCCCATGGGCTTTGTGATTTACATTAATTATCTACCAAATAATATTACTTCACATATCCGACTCTTTGCAGATGACTGTATCATATATAGGGTCATAACTGGGTCTCATGGTGCTGGTGACTTGCAAAAGGACCTTGATACGTTTACTGCATGGGGTAGGACAATTCAGATGAAGGTTAACCCAAATAAATGCTGTGTCATGAGAATCACTCATGCAAAAAATATACACAAACATAATTACTTAATTGATAATACTGTGCTTAATGAAACTAAGGATCACACCCATCTAGGAATTAACATAAATTATAAGCTAAAATGGAATCTACATATTAAACAAATTATCAATAAAGCAAATAGAATGCTGGGTTTTGTACGTCGCAATCTGTATTCGTGCCCCTGACATATCAAAGACCTTGCTTACAAATCATTAATTAGACCGAGACTTGAATATGCATCTGGTATATGGGATCCATTTACTAAACAATTAATCCAAGATATCGAAGCTGTGCAAAACAGAAATGCGAGATTTGTCTTGAGCAACTACAGCAGATTCAGTAGCGTCTCTGCTATGAAAAAAGAATTAAAATGGGATTCCTTGCAATTTTTCAACAAGCTCTACATAATCGCCTTGCCATTCCATTACAAGTGCACTTGCGTCCTGTCACGTACTTCTCTAGACCAGCGTTCCGCAAACTTTTTACTTCACGGCATATTTACGATTCTAGGCACCAAGCCGCGGCCCAGCAGTCCAGCCGCGCCAGGGACCAACATACCAAATCCTGGCAAGAACTTTTGATCATGAAGCCTAGATGTATATACAATATTTTGACATCATTATCTGTTCTCTTAGTGATAAAATTTTATTTTATACAAATTAAATATTATTTCATTTAATAAATAATACCGTACATTTGTTGTTCCCCCCACCGCCGACAATTGTTGATTGTATTTTTTTTCTACCATGATTCGACCAAACACGGTTCAGCCACGCCGCACAGTTACTCCGCAACTTTGAAAGACTACCTTACTATACAGATGTTTAGTAATAAAGTATCCACATGGACATTCGGTTATCAAGAAATGTGTGGTGTTGTTTACTGTAGTGATCTTTCTAGGACAGGGTCTTATATTTATTTTTATCTTTATCTCATGACTCATCCCATCATCCTCCATTCCTCCATACCGGATTTACTCGATCTTACAGGGTTAATACTAGACGATAACATAGTGTCTAGCTTCCGAGGGGGCATAGGCACAAAAACCGCTTATAACTCCAATAGCAAGCATCATCAAACACTTTAGCAGCGTGTACAAGCGACGCATTCGCTGTAACAATGAAGCGGCTTTATTAAAAACTATTTTCTCAATGATGAAACCACCCTCATTAAAGATTGTTGAAATAAAATAAATAAATAAATAAATAAAATAAATAAACGTCTCTTTGTTGTTGTTTTTTTTTTTTTTTAATTTCCAGACGGCTTTGCGGCCCTCCAAAAATGTTTCGCGAACTTAGGCCGGGGACCATAGTTTGCGGAACGTCGCTCTAGACATTGTACATATTCCGAGGTGACTGCCCAAAAGGACTGTTATAGATTTGTCTTCATACCAAGAACTCTACGAGACTGGAATCGAATCCCTAATGAAATTGCATCAATAGAAGACAAAGAAAGGTTCAAGATTGCTATATCCGACCACCTAAGGAATACAGAACGCTAAGCTAGGCCTACAGCGCCACCATCCCTTCTCGCTTTGCTCCTTTTAGTGGCGTTGAGGAGTACACATCCAGATCCAGCATCAACCATCTCAAGTAGAGCCAATTTCAGGGTATGTCAACCTAATTCCAACTCAATTGTTGTCAGAAAAGTTCACATATTTGATTTCCGGCCGCCAGCTGTGGCTGTTTAACCTAGTACAGTACACCCGCCAGGGGAGAACGGATGTGCTAACCCGTCTCGTGGAGGGATCGGCCCGATCGCATTATATTTTTCCCCATACAGTTAAGTCGGAAATTATAGAGGGCGCTATTTAAGGTCATTCGGGCGAACATTTTTACGTGAATATGCATGTGGGACTTCCTCCACGCGAGGCGCAAAAACAGGGTTCGCTGCTTGTCCTATGAAAGGACGCGGCGTATAGTAGGGTAGGCCAAAATCTCTTGGTACCGTAGTTGGTCAAGACAGTGTAGTCGACACAGTGGAAATTAAGGGATTATTAGTAATGTAATTATAATATCCCTATGCATTGACACTGTTTACGTACAGATTTTGAAAGTATAAAAAGCAGCATTGAGTCTGGTCGGTTATTTGAGTAGTGTAAAATAATAATAATAATAATAATAATAATAATAATAATAATAATAATAATAATAATAATAATAATATGTCGTTCTTATATAGCGCTTCATGCACAAGCATCTAGCGCTTCAAATTACTACCCCGGTCATTGGATCAAACACATATGAAACACATACTAAACACCAAATTAAATTATTAAATTTAATTATATTATTATTCCATAATATTACAGCTAGTATAGTAATCAGCGCAGTTGTGTTGGAACCTACCTGGTACTCCTTAGTGGAGATCATCATGTGTCAAAATTCTATTAATAATACTTACTCCCCCTGATGTGTAGGCCTACTATTCGAAACGAAGATGTGATGTGTTGATGAACTTATCTGCAAGGATTGGAGGTTTTTCTTAAGGTACGGCTTAGTTATTATTTTGGAATACTGTGTTATAGAATCCTTAAATTATTATTTTTTTTTCCGACCTGGTGCAATGTAAACCTCAAATATTTATATGATTTCACAATGTTACAGCCTAGATATCATTGCTTAGTCTACAGTTCGTACAAGTATTTAAAAATACATACCAATTTATTATAACTCGATCCAGATAAACATTTAGTCCGTTTCCTCCCAACAAACTTTTTTGGCGACGTCGTCGTGGTTACGAAGCCTATCGCATCGTACTCTCAGGGGCTTACAATTTCCGCATGGCTGGTTTTCAATATCAGCAATCACGTATTCAGTGAGTCAACGGGAGTCAGAGCATACCTACAACTGTCTCTTATACACATCTAGATGTGTATAAGAGACAGTCTCTAGACCGGCGTTCCGCAAACTTTTTACTTCACGGCCTATTTACGATTCTAGGCACCAAGCCGCGGCCCAGCAGCCCAGCCGCGCCAGGGACCAACATACCAAATCCTGGCAAGAACTTTTGATCATGAAGCCTAGATGTATATACAATATTTTGACATCATTATCTGTTCTCTTAGTGATAAAATTTTATTTTATACAAATTAAATATTATTTCATTTAATAAATAATACCGTACATTTGTGGTTCCCCCCACCGCCGACAATTGTTGATTGTATTTTTTTTCTACCATGATTCGACCAAACACGGTTCAGCCACGCCGCACAGTTACTCCGCAACTTTGAAAGACTACCTTACTATACAGATGTTTAGTAATAAAGTATCCACATGGACATTCGGTTATCAAGAAATGTGTGGTGTTGTTTACTGTAGTGATCTTTCTAGGACAGGGTCTTATATTTATTTTTATCTTTATCTCATGACTCATCCCATCATCCTCCATTCCTCCATACCGGATTTACTCGATCTTACAGTAATCAGCGCAGTTGCGTTGGAACCTACCAGGTACTCCTTAGTGCAGATCATCATGTGTCAAAATTCTATTAATAATACTTACTCCCCCTGATGTGTAGGCCTACTATTCGAAACGAAGATGTGATGTGTTGATGAACTTATCTGCGAGGATTGGAGGTTTTTCTTAAGGTACGGCTTAGTTATTATTTTGGAATACTGTGTTATAGAATCCTTAAATTATTATTTTTTTTCCGACCTGGTGCAAAGTAAACCTCGAATTTTTATATGATTTCACAATGTTACAGCCTAGATATCATTAGTAGATTGCTTAGTCTACAGTTCGTACAAGTATTTGAAAATACATACCAATTTATTAAAACTCGATCCAGATAAACATTTAATCCGTTTCCTCCCAACAAACTTTTTTGGCGACGTCGTCGTGGTTACGTAGCCTATCGCATCGTACTCTCAGGGGCTTACAATTTCCGCATGGCTGGTTTTCAATATCATCAATCACGTATTCAGTGAGTCAACGGGAGTCAGAGCATACCTACAACGCTTAAATTTGCTATTGTGACCACCGTGTGGTGGCGCGCCGCCGCGCCGCGGCGTCAGTATAGCCAATTTAACGCTGGAAAGGAAGTGGTGCTTCCAAGAGTATGTGCTCATGCTCTTCTTCTTAAAAATCGGGACCTCCACTGTCGATGGAGTATTCTATATAGGTCTAATCTGAATGATTAAAGTTTAAATAAATTTACATACATATGACCGGTATAGAAGAAACTTTGAATTATTATTATTTGAATTGAAATTTGTTAAAATACAAGAATAATAAATCTTTTGAAGAGAAGACAACCATGCCGGTATTGAAAAAATACATACATTGTATTTTGACTATAGAACGCAATATCTGAATCTATCTGTATAGTAGTAGACTTACTAACTTTTCCTACTATAGCAGGGGAGCTGATGGGGGTAGGAAGGTAAAGTGGGGGAATCGATGATTATGTGAGCACGCAAAATAATGTGATTTGAGGTGATTTTTAACTGCTTGAGAATGATTTTTTGGGAGGAGGCGCGACTGGGGGATGGACGAGTATTTTTTTAGGGGGTGGGGGCCGTGCGCACCCCTCGCACATCCTAGATATGCCAATACCTAGCATACCCTGCAAGTTACCCTAAGGTCCGCCACTGGACAAGTATAGATAAGATCATGTACCACCCCTTATTACCAAAAACTTGGATGGGACTCCCTACAGGTGGGCAAAGTGCGGCCCGCGTGCCGCATGCGGTCCGTCAGCGATTTATGTTTGCGGCACACCAATCAAAATTGTCTAGAAAACACCTTGTTTTTGATGGTCCGACATCAATCATATGTAAAAAGTAACATTGAAACTGAGAATAAAGTGATGTAATTTTTTGGAAGCTCACTGGAAACATCAAATTTCACACTGACCGATTTTTATGCCCACCTCTGCTCTACATGTACGACGTCTTTTGAACCAATCTGTAATGTTCTAATATTCAATTTCTATCATGTGTAATACCTGCCACATATTTCACCAGATATGACAATAAACTCAAATAAGTTCCAATCACTACTACAAATGCTTTCATGTACTCTTTTATCTAAGAACAAACCGTGTCTGGAATAGGTTAGATTACTCTCATCAGTCATCACAACATCTTTACTTTACTAATATCTTGAGCCAGGATGACACAATCATTTTAAAGAAATGTTTTTCATTGTGGTCCTGGAAGTTGCATCATCATCAGTTGCAGCCTACAAAAAATCAGCCCTTCCGGTCATAAGAAGGATGCCTCCTGCACATAGTTCCAAACTCCTATATTGATTTTGATAAACCGACTTGTAATATTGAGCGCAAGGTTTTGTCATTTGGTCTCTTTTTTTTCATTCTGTTCCTGCCTCCAACTGTCTCTTCTTTTTTGTTTCTACACCCTCCACGGCACTTTACACACCCATTCTAGTTTAGTTTCAGTATGATACTGTAAAAGAATTATGTTATTATATGTTATTATCATACGAGTAAAGACAAACAGAATAACCGATGCATTCCTAACTGGTAGGGAAGGTGTGTAGATTTTAAAAGGAAGCGGGTGATATTTTGTTGTACTGATTCACTTTTGTCGATGTTGAACTTAAGGTGGGGTTTCCAAACAGTGTATTCATATTCTAGTGATGGTCGAACCAATTAAGAAATTAAAAATAATTATTTTTTATTTTAATACTATTTTTTGTTAAAGTTTACGACTGCAATGCCAGGTAATCTTAAGCCGTCAAAAAAGCTACCACGGCTAATTTAAATACAGGTGCAGAAAACAACAACAGTCAACTTTTAGGACGACAACAACAACAAATACGCTCGGTGAAAAATGTAGATTTTAGAACATTATTTATAGTTTTGTCACAACTGAGAGTGCCAACGTGCATAGGCGTAGATCCCAGGGGGGGATATATCCCCCCAATATTTGACAAGGGGGGGGGGGATGGCCATTGTATCATCCCCCCAATATATTGACTATGTATGGCATAAAATGGAGCTTTACACACTACAAAAGACTGTCACAGAAATAATTTGCTGTCTTATGCGCTTATAAAGATGAAAATTAGCATAATGTATTAATGTTGATAACAAAATTATTTTATCTGGTACCAATCTAAGCTCCTCTTTCCTTAGATTTTAGATATGCATGCAAAGAGAGCCACATTTCACACTGAATGTTATGTCAATTCCAAGAATGTTTAAGGTTATATCGGTTGATGAGAAATTTATTGATTAGGCCTATAATAGCAAATTGCATCAATTTATTTTGCAAAAACAAGGTTTCCAGCTTCAGAGGGGGGCACATCCCCTGTCCGCACAAGGGCACACATTGGCGCTAACACCAGGCGCGTAACAGAGGGCTTGGGTCAGAGTGGGTATTTATTTTCCCGGTTAGTAATTTACCATACCCACCCCAAGCCACTCCCCATATAGAAAACAATACGACATAGGGCTTATCTTAATTATAATATAGGCCACACACGTGTGTTTGAAACTAAATATAGGCCTAAGCATTTTCATCGTGGTTTTATTTATTTCAAACATATTCTTTCACCATTAATACACATTGAGGCCCTTCTTTTAGGTTAAAACGATCTATTTTAAATTTGTCTTTCTTGAGTTTTGGGACTATTATGTGTTTAAATAACTTAAAAGGATAAACCTAAAAAAGCCCTAAAAATGCAAAAAAAATGTAAAAATATTTTTGTGTTTTTAATTCTAATTTCGTCGGAATTGATGAAAACTCCCTAAAATGTGCAATTTTTGGGGCCGAGGAAATTGGCCTACCGTAACAAGAAATGCACGCAAACAATTTGAGAATTTTAGGCACTTTCAGAGGGTGCATTTGTCAAGGGGTGCGGAAAGATTTTCCAAAGATGGACATTTTCCCTAATTGTCCCCCGGTGTTTTTAATTCTAATTTCGTTGGAATTGATCAAAACTCCCTAAAATGTGCAATTTTTAGAGGAAATTGGCCCATGTTAACAAGAAATGCGCGTGGAGCGCGAAATTTGAGGTTTTTATGCACTTTCAGGGGATGAAAAGGGCATTTATAAAGGGGTGGGGAAGATAGATATTTTCCCCTTGTCCCCCAGTGGTTACGCCATTGGGTAGCATAGATCAAAGGAGTTATGACAGTTTTTGAAGTGGAGAAGGAGTTGCAGGGTGTTGTGAGTCTGGTCATTATGATATCTTCCTTTTTATTCTTGTCTTTATTTTTCTCTTTTCTTTTTCTTTCCTTTTCTTTTCCTCTTCTTTCTCTTTCCCTCCCTCTCCCCTCTTTCTTTTCTCTTATTACCCAGTCTGGTACGACGGCTTGGTCAGCACGGTAAAAACCAGGAGAGGGGCAGTTTCCCCCTCCCCCGCGCCTGTTACGACACTGGCTAACACGCCAATCATCCCCCCACCAATGAAAAATATTTTTCTACGCCACTGCCAACGTGAGCCATTTGGCTAGGCCAGGCTGTCTCAAGCGTGGACCGACTTGAGCGGACCGACCATGTGTCAAATTCTTACACGCCTTTCTTACCCGCTTTTTTATTGAGATATCCCGAAAGTGAACCCTCCCAAAGTAATTGAAGAAGATCTGTGGCCGATTTCACTAACGCCAATTGTAAGTAAACCGATTGAAGCACTGATCAGCCAACGTGTTTGGGATCAAATAAAGGATAAAATAAACTCTCACCAATTTGGCTGTATGCAAGGTGTAAGTACTAGGCCTGTTGATGCGCTCATGTCAGTATTGCATCGGTGCTACTCTGCGACGGACAAAGGAATCGAGTTACGCATGATGCTTATTGATTATAGTAAAGCGTATGATATCATAAATCATACAATTTTAATCGAGAAGCTTGTTAATCTAGGAGTTCAGGATACCTTGATAGATTGGACATGCGCTTTCCTGTCAAATAGAGCAAATCGTACAAAAATTGGCGACCATGTTTTCTTGTGGCGAACCCCACATGGGATCCTGGCTCGGTCCCATTTTGTTTATCACGTGTCGATGACTCAGAAATGACAAAATGAAAGACTCATTTTCTATTATAAACGAGTGGTCAGCGATAAATCAGATGCGTCTGAATGAAAAGAAAACAAAAGAAATAGTCATCTCCACTAAACGAAAGAAATTAGATGTGATACCAGTTCTCACGGGTGATGGCAGTGTTATCGAAGAGTTGAGCTATGTTAAGCTGCTAGGCATACACATAACTGAAAATCTGAAGTGGGAGGCTCAAATTGACGATATGACTAAACGTAGTAGCCAGCGCCTCTATTTTTTTTTAACAACTTAGGAAATCTGGTTTTGATACCTTCGCACTTCTCCGTTTTTTCACGTCCTTTATACGTCCATTGCTTGAATACGCGTGTCAGGTTTAGGGTACGAGTATCTCCGTCCATCAGTCGTCGCAACTCGAACATATCCAACGGAGAGCTGTTGCAATTATATGTGCCCTTCAATGTCATACAAAGAGGCGTGCGCTGCACTTTCCTTTGAAAGAAAGACATGAAATGCTCAGTATAAAATACTTTAATAAAGTAAAAAAAACCGAAACACAAATTAAACCACTTGCTGCCGCCTGCAACATTTAATAAGTACAACTTGCGTTCTAAGAAAGCCTATGACCTTCCTAAAGTTAGATGCGAAAGGTCAAAACGTTTTATTATTAACTGTGGTCTTTTCAATAATTGGTAGACTGAGCACATGCTGGTAACGCTATCTTTCTAAACTTTCTAAATATTAAAAAAAAATAATAATATGTAATTCTTAAATTATTGTATTTGTAAATCTTATATTAATTTTTTATGAATTTATTTTATTTGTTTTGTACAATATCAACTAATTTAATTATCGTCTAATTATAAATTTAACTCTTTTATACCTGATATGTACACATTTTACTTCAATGTTTCTAAATTGTATATGCAATTGTAAATATATCCAATTCTATTCTCTCTTAGACCTAATCCCTTTTTTTGCTTTATTTTTTAGCATTTCATAATTTTTCTACTTTGCTTTATTTCATAAATTTTTTTATTTATTTAGCGTTTCGTGTCCTTTTTTGTGATGTTATTGTATTGTGTTTTCTTGGTCTATTGTTCAACTTCAATTTGTTATAAGAATTGTAATAAAGCTTCTCGTATCTCGTATAGCTTACACACCCGGAAGGCGTGTAAGCCCGACTGATGGGCTTGCTATTTGAGGCCTGAAGCTAGGGAGATTTGAGCCCCATACGTTCGATTAACTTTACCGCTCGACTACACTCACCTGATATACTGTCTCTTATACACATCTGTACGACGGCTTGGTCAGCACGGTAAAAACCAGGAGAGGGGATATATAGTCATATTACACCACTATAGGTCCAATACAACAACCAGCGGATCTAGAGCATCGACTATATGCAAAGATATGGCGCAACAGTAGGGCGAGGATTTGTATTCTCAGATTATCTTGTTATCAGCTGTAACAAAACCAGAACAAACAAAAAATATCGATGTTTTATGTTTATGACAATTATACCTGATACATTGATACAATTTTATTTACATATATATCCTGGTAATTTCTTAAAACGCCCACATTTAACTGATCAGATGTAGCGATATGTACTCGTCTACGCAGACTATTATATTAAGGTATGAGTTCGTATTTATTTTACATGTAATCAAGGTTACATGTATCTTCATAGTTGTTTATTTTTTATAGTGTTTATTGATATCAATGTATGTATTTTACGTATAATCAAGGTTATATGTATCGTAGTTGTTAATTATTCTATAAGTGCATATTGACATGAATGTACGTATTTTACATGTATGGAATATTTGTATCTATTTTACCTATTATGTGCATTTAATGTAAATCAGCAAAGTGAAGCTGCGAAATCAATTACGTTTATTGAATAAATTTAATAAGATAGCAATAGTTAGATATTCTCATGACACTCTGATATGTAGGCCCAACATCAGAGGTTATAGTTTTACACATACATAAATTCTAGTCATAATGACAACATTGCTTCATTATTTGCAAAACCCATTATCCAGACTTTTACCTGTTACTAATGAATTTCAAGCAGGAATCCGCTGATTAAGCCAATGTAATTAATATCTCCTGGTTTCCAAAAAAAATTCATTATTTTTACGCCCAGTAGTGGTCATCTGTGCTGGCCGGACCTGAAGTAGCAAATCGTATAATACGGTATATGAACACTTTTCATCAGGTTTAATGATTGGCTGTACTGTATTGCGTTGTACAATTTACAAAAACAAGAAAACTTTGGTTCTTTTTTTTATATATTTTTAGTTAAATAATATATAGGCGGCCCATTCCAACATAAGTAATGCAACTCAGCAACAAATCTAGGCCTAATCTTTCAAATCATTTATAGCCTCTACTCTTCTACTGCTATAATTGTATTTATTTTAATGTGTTTGTTACATGTCTTTTTTTCTAATTTTATTAGCTTTGTCAACACAACAAATTTCATTTTGGACAAAAGAAAGTTTTCAATATTCAGCATGATCACCACAACCAACTCAATCAAATTATGTTATTTCATTGTAGCTGTACAAGACAAGCAATAGAATGTAATGTTTGTGTTACAGTTACTGGACTTTGTGTCATCAACAAATTTATCAGCATGTTGTTAACCTGCTAGGAGTGCATATAACAACAGTTATTACTTCACTTCTACCACACAACACTTGAATCAAGGTACCTCGGACTTTGTATTACAAATATTCATTTCACTAAACATTGAAAACAAAGGCATATTTATATTTAAATGGCAAAACTTTTAAATAATACAATTATATGACTTGAAATAGAGATGTTCCGTTTTTAATATATCAAGTTTTAAGAAGAGCAATACTGATTCATTTTACTAGATACATTAATGGAATATACACATTTACAAGTGCTTAATGCTACTAGTTTCATTTTTTGCCATTTATTTCTAGCTAAAATATGGTGCAGTATGTCCACTGGAATAAATCGCAGGCCAGATTTTGTTCCAATATATTGTTAAAATGTACAGTAAAAAACAAACTTTTGCAAGCTTTGTGAATTTTTAAATATTATTATTTGATTAGTAGTTAGGTAACCATTTTTTCTGTCTATGCAACCACAAGAAATGCAAAGAAATTAATTATCTGATTTCCTCCTGTTTTTTCTACTAAATGATTTTATTTCATAATCTGTTATTTTAGAGTTATTATTAGTTATAAAAAAAAATCAAAACAAACATTGAAACTTGATATAAAGTTTGTTGGCACTTCACCGTAACTTTTTGACGGAGCTCAAACAAAATGTTATCAGCAATCAATCTTCTGAAAAGAAACTAGTATACCTTACGCTGTCAATCATTGATTCAGTTAAATAAACAAAGGGCGGATGAACTCCTCGGAGCCAAACCTTAGTAGGTCCATGGTTTAAGGAGTAGGATTAGTTAAGTATCATTATATTTGTATTCTTATTTACGTTAAGCACATAGAGGTCTCTATGATATGCGCTCTATAAGTCGACCATTATTATTATTAATAATTATTCAACATGATATTTTCTTATTTAAAATTTGTAAATATTTGATCATCTATTTTCAAACCAACATTCTATTTCGTTATTTGATCATCTAATTTGAATTCCACTAAGTTTTGCTATTTATTAATAATCCATATTTTTCTAAATTAAAATATTTGTAAGAACTTGTTAAAATCTTAATAGTTTTTTTTGTAATCCCTATATTGATTTGTTTTTTATTGTTTTTTTTTCTTTTGAAATTTTATACATGCAATTTATGAATCATAAGCAATTCACTTTTTACTGTGATTTGTGGATATTATTAGAAAAAATGAAATAAGAGACTGGGGTTTTCATGCAATCGATATTCTAATCATCATTTAAGAACTCCTTCCTAATTTCAGAATTATGCCTACCAGTCAACAATTTATTATTTGTCTTTCTTCATTAGAGAATGAACTACATTCAACGTACATTATCACTTTGTTCTCTTTTTACAGATGTCTGTATCCGAAGAATTGCAGCATATGGATGATAGTCCAGCAGAGAGTGAAGTATGCCAATTAGCTACAACTCTAATGCATTCATCAAGTGAAGACTCGCAAACTGAGGAAGAATATGATGGAAATGAACAGTACAAAGTAACAGTTAGATGCCTGATGCGCTATATGTTATGTAGACCTTGTTGTCGTGTACATCGGGTATGTTAGACCAACCCTCGAATATGCCGCACACGTATGCCACTCTGGTCTAACTTGCGAACAAAGTAATGCAATCAAAAAAGTCCAAAAACAGGGGATGTATGCCTATAACCATTCTTGGAGCTGATAATGATGGTTACCAACATGCACATGACTAACCTAGCCTTGTTAGCTAATCCAAAGTAGGACAGAAATGTGTTTTAAAATTTGCCTATGATTGTGTTGAGACAATTGCTTCTCTAGATGGTTTACAGAGAACGACTCCACTCACGCAATGTCTCTTAGAAACGTATAGAATTTGTGCCTACTACCAGTCAACAATTTATTCTTTTTCTTACTTAATTAGTGCACTATAAAAATTTCAACCTGCATTAATACTTTGTTGTCTTTACAGATGTGTGTTGATACGACGTATGAGGTTGCTGACGATGATAAAGAAATTACTGTCACAAAAGGACAACTATTTGTAGTGAAAGTAACAGGTCCAGCAGAGAGTGATGCACACCAATTATCTGCAACACTAATAAATTCATCAGGTGAAGAATCGCCAACTGAGATAGAAAATGATGGAAATGGAGAGTACAAAATAACAGGTGGATGCAATGTGGAAGGTGATTGGCAAATGATGATAACTGCCAGAGCTGAGCCCATCCAAGGATCTCCAGTGAATATCAACGTGGAAGCACTGGGGCTTGTTCATACCACTCGTAACATATTAGATTATATACAACAAAACGAAACAAAGATGGTGACAGATGTAGAGTTAGATACAGATGGACGTATTTTAGTATCAAGTTCCAGTAAAGATATATTGAAGTTCGACCAATCAGGTTCATTTGTTGCTAGAATAAATGTGCCACAAGATGCGCAGGTCAATAGAATGCATCAGATGGGTGATGGTCACATCATGTATATTGATGATTTAGGAAAGTGTGTTGTAAAGTGTGATGATAAATTTAGAGAAATCAGATCATTTGGTAAAGGAATACTGAAAATGCCAAGGGGCTTGACAGTGAACAAGACAACTAGAGTTTTGTATGTAGCAGACTTTGATGATGACTGTGTGTATACATTCAATGCTGATAATGGTAGACTACTGGGTAATATAGGTTCAGAAGGTAGTGGAGTAGGTCAATTGCTGCAACCCATAGATGTCACTTTAACTGAGGAAGGTCATGTGATTGTTGCTGAACTTGGAAATCAGAGGGTAAAAATGTTTGATGCAAGTGGTAGGTTAGTGCGAAAACTTAAATGCATTGATGAAAACGATGATGATGATGATGATGATGATGATGATGATGATGATGATGATGATGATGATGACGATGATGATGAAAAGGGTCCTAATTGTGTAACTATGGATTTTGATGAAAATTTAGTAGTGTCAAGTCATAATAAACTTAAATTATTTGATAAAAATGGTGACTTCATAAAACGAATAGATCATAGAGGTGATGGATTAATGTTTCCATTTAGAATCGCTGTAATCTCCAACAGACCAAGAAGAATAGCAGTAACAAACCCCGGAGCAAACAATGTTAAAATATTCAATTATTAAAATGGCATCCTTGCATCATAGTTTCATAAAAATTTAATATTACCATCATCGTTGGTGCTAGCAAGTGGAGTTGACAGTGGATATTTAATCACACAACAATTAGGCCACATTTTTTACCTTCCAAAGTATTTTCAAGTCCAGGATTCAAAACCCATCAGAGGGTCTAACATTTTGAATATTGATTCAATCTCGTGAGTTTTTGAGAAGGCTTGAAGCTAAGCCAAAGTGTTACTTTTGCCCACCTATGAGGCTAGCGGATTTCGTCCCTGCTAGAGTTTCACCACGGGTGGCCTTGCCGTTTGAGTAAAATGGCCTCTTTGAAATTTTGTCTTAGATCAAAGACCTTTACATTATCTTTACTTCTACTCACACTACTTGCTTTATTTGCAAGTTCTACGAGGGATTTACCGGAACCTGTAATTAAGACATGGAATTTTAGTCATGTTTTCCAGCATCAAAAACATAAATATTTACATCGCCATAAGTGGAATTTGAGGCTAACTGATAATTATTTTATTTTTCGAAAAGACCGTAATCGACATGGGGGAGGCGTTTTAATTGCCAGGGACCGCCTGCTTCAATCTGCCGCCGCTCCCCAATACGACGTTGACGGACTGGAAATTATATGGACAGTTGCTTGCACTAAAAAAGGTAAAGTGCTAGTTGGCTGTGTCTACCGACCACCTAGTGCCAATGCAATAACATATGATAAGCTTGAAACTTGCTTTGTAAAAATTTTAGCTGATGTTCAGATTTATCACTCTGTTGTACTTGTAGGTGAGTTGAATATTGACCTTCTGTGTAATAAAAACTGTAATGAGACTAAACTTTTTGCTGCCTTAAATATTTTAAATTTTGTACAAGTTGTTGATTTTATTACTAGAAGAAAAAGTGCAATATCAAATGTTGGAACTACTATTTATCATGTTTATATTAACAGGCCCGACGTCATTTCAGCTGTGTCTCCTCATGTCGGCATTCCTGGTAGTGATCACGATGGGATTTTTATTGATTTTAATCTCATTTAAGTCCATACTCCTCTTCCTCCTGTCCTGACTATTTTTTGCAATATTCCAAAATTGATAATGATAATTTTATTGATATTTTTTCTAATATAAATTTGGTTTCCTGTTTCTCGTCTGATAATATTGATGTAATTTAGGAGATTTTAAGGGTAAGTTCTTGAAAGCTATTAGCCAATGTGTTCCCAGGCGTAAAGCCAAAATAAGGCTAAGCTTCCATGGATTTCTAATTATATTATTAAGCTTGTGACAGTCGTAAATGGGATGCTTACAATAAGTGTAGAAACCTGGTTAAATCTACAACAAGAAAATCGTACTATCATTTTATAACTAAGCTTGCTGCCAAATGTGAAAATAATGGCAATGATTTTGGTTTTTGTAAATAGTGCTAAGGCAAAACCTGTTGCTCATTGTTTTAAGATTAACGGTTCTATTGTTGATGATCCTTATATTATTTTTCAAACTTTAAATGAATATTTTAAGTCTAACTTTAATGATGAAAATTTTGTTTTACAATCTCAAATATATAACTGTGATCAGATTAATCATATTGGTTTAAACGTACTTTCAAATATCCAGATCCTGTGCTACGCCAGACCGAACATCGATTCGGATCCCGAGTTGGTGTCGCGATCGCGAAACTTCTGGTTTCGGATGGAGTGCGCCGGAATCGATCAGCACAACTGGCACTCCAAGACACCGTCGTCCGTCGTCTCCGTTGCCGAAGAGGTGGCCAGCAGCTTCTCCCCCTCGTCGTCGTCTTCTTCTTCGTCATACTCCGGAGCGCGACCGAACATCCGTTCGGCACTGTTGTGGGACTTGACGGCGTTCGTCAGCGGCAGACGCGCGCCTTACACGTTCGAAGCAGTGAAGCTGCGGTGCTTCTTGAACGAGGCGAGAGGTTCTCCGTCGGAGAAGACAGTCGAGGAAGCGCTGGAGCAATTCCTACGCGACGTCTCGCGAAGAAAATCGGGGACGACGCTGTCCCTGGAAGCACAAAGATTAGGTCTAGAACGTCACGATCTTCTGGACGGTCTGCGCATCGACTTGGATGGCGAGTTGCGGAATCTGCCGAGACTCCGAGCCACCCTGTACAAGGAGATGGGAAAGAGACTGATTCTTTTCGAAGATTTCGACGCCGTAGTCGGATGTCTGTGCGCCGACTGGCAGCGAGGAGAGAAGGAGTCGACCGCACCGTCCGCGGACGATCCCGCGAGCCGTGGAGGGTGTGGATTCCTTCCTGGAAAAGTTGGAGAAACGTGTGGACGGCAACAGGAAGAGGAAGTTCGTCGCCTACCTGAAGAGGTGGATTCCAAGATTTCCGGTTCCGGAGCACGACGGCTACTCGTCTCTCGAATCGCGATGCGACACGGACGAGGCCGTCAGACTGTTCGCAGCTGCGTATCCGGCGATAGCTTTCTCGTTCGCGGTGCCCGAGGTCGCCGACGACGAGAAGTTGGCATTCGCCCTTTGCGAACGCCGGCTTCCACCTGGCGCGGCTGACGTGGTTCGACTTCGACGCTCCCAGCGTCAGCTTCATGTCCTCCGTGCCGGGTCTCGCATTCGCCCAGGAACAGCGCCTCGAGATCTCGTCGCTGATGTCCGCTTTCGCCGCGTACGACGAGCCGGTGCACGTCACGCAGCACGTTAAATTCTATCTAGATAGTACCGGATGCCTTCATGGCTGACAAGAATCCACAAACATTCCTCTTTTTTCGACGGAATTGCTGTCATTTTCAGCACCATTCCTGTTAAAAATTCGATAGAAATGCTCAATGTCTCTAAGAATCAAATGAATCCCATGG